CCTCCCTTTCCTACTAAGCATTACACAGAGCGCTCATTGTTCCCATAGTAACTCAAATGGGGAAAAGTGGTCATAAAAGTTCCTTCTAGGTAATCTATACAGTTTTCCAAGGTAGGCCTGTTGATAGGGCAGGCTCTGGTCCACCCCGTGAGCATCGGAGCACCCTTTACATGCCCCTGACCCCTGAGCTTCTCCACACTGCTTTGCCTACCCCCTACTTGTTCCAGCTCACTGCCTCCCCCTCCTCTTCCTCTCTGTAGGTCACACTGTTCATCATTTTTCTCATTCCTGTCTTGTTCACTTATAGAGACTGGACTCCAGCCTTTTCTGATCTCATCTCATCATTCTGAGTAAATTTTCCTATTGAGATTTCCTGGGGTTGTTTGTGTGAGGGAGTGTGAGTTTTCTTCTCCATCTGTTTTTGTGAGTCCTACAAACCTCTGCAGACCACAGCTGCAAATGTGATCCTCAACTCATGACCACAGACGTGTTGCCTGGAAGCCCCGGTAAACATCAGCTCAGAGACAGCCAAGCATCTGGCCCACCGTCTCTTTCTCTGGGACCCTTGGGTTATGCTTGGCAAACGCTGGAGCGCTACTTCAGGGCTTCTGCTGCAGTAAACACTATCAATGGTGCTAACTGGAACACTGGAGAACCTTGGGGCTGGAGAGATGCCTTAGAGTTTAAGAGTGCTTGCTGCTTTTGCACAGGACCTGAGTTTGGTTCCCAGCACCCATGTCTGGTGGCTCATAACCAACTGCAACTCCAGCTCCATGGCATTAACGCCCTCTTCTGGCCTTTGCAGATACTTGCATACATGTGTGCATATACACACATGCACATACACATACAGATAAATATTAAATCTTAAAGACTGCAGAATCTGGGAAATAACTATACCTAGGATTTATGTCAGCCGTTTAAATCAAAGATTTTTATTTTTGGTTTGCTTTTGGACAAAATTCTTGTAAGAATCCCAGATGAAAGCTCCTGCACAAATCACATGTTCCCTCACTAACAAAAATACACATTCAATAATTTTTTAAAAAATCAGTTTTCAGTGACCCAGATGGCTAAGAAAATGCTGCTGGGATTTTTCTGATCTGTCACAGAATTTTCTAACTGAACAAGAACAAAGATGCCAGTCTTGGCTGTGTTATTCCCTTGGGCATGGGGAATGTGTTTATTTCAGAAAACTGGCAGTGACTGGCTTTGAAGGAAAGCTGGAACTTGAGAAGGCTTGCCCCCTCCTGACCCGGAGTCAGCGGACACAGTGGCATACTTCCAGGAAGTTCTCGGCTGTGCGAGTGACTCATGTCTTCACCAGCCAGACCTCATTGCGACGTCCGTAGGGCTTCATGGGGGGGTCATATCCTGTGCAGTAGTAGACATCACCCTGGTAGGTGGCTTGTGTGCCTTCCAGGACGGTGCGCAGCTGGGTGGCGTGAGCTACATAATCTGCTTCCTTGGCGAACCCCCCGAACTGCCTGAGGATAAAGAGCAAGGGCTGGTAAGAAAGGACAGGACCTCAGAGACAGGGCAAGTCTCCTAGGAAGAGATCACGGTCATGGTTTTTAGTACAAGCATGCCAGAGAGGTGAGGCCAGAGGGGCCCATTTCACCTCAGCTGTAAAAATACAATGTATAAGGGCTGGAGAGAGGGATCTGTAGTTGAGAGCACTGGCTGTTCTTTTGAAGACCTGGGTTCAGTTCCCAGCACCCACCTGGTGGCTAACAATCGGCTATAACTCCAGTTCCAGGGAATCTGATGCCCTCTTCTGGTCTCCATAGGCATTGTGTGACATGTAAGTACATGATATTCAAGTACAGTGGGTGTACTTACACACATACAAGCAAAATGCATACACATGAAATAAAAAGAAATCCAAATATATATATATTTAAAATGCAAAGTATGTTCTTTTTTCTCTTAAGTTATGAGTGCCGTATGCAACACTACAGCTAAAAACTGTAACTCAAACACAGTAGTCACATGCCAAACATGAGCTTCAATTAGCAAGTTCCCAAAGGAATGGGAGGCTGACTGCCCCCAGGGCCATCTTTCACCCTTTTCAGCCAATCACCAGCAGGAGAGACAGACACTGAGGGGCCAAGGTAGAGCAGCCACAGTAGGGAAGCAGCTGTCATGACTGAGCACATCCTTATGGGCAACTTCATTAAATTGCAGCTGACCACGGCTGGGACCCAAGGATGTCTTGGGAGGGGCCCCATGCAAGCTTCACAGATACTTCCAACAGAGAAACCTCTTCTAATCATTAACTCTCTTCTCTGCTCAAATCATGAAAGCTTTCTTCTTCCAATAAGGAATGAAACTTCTCCCAAGCTGGGTATGTCTCTTGATGGCAGAAATAGGGGCTAGAGAAACCCTACTTTTCCAGATTGTTCTCTCTGTTGCATCATCTGCCTCCACACCAAAACTCATCCTGTAGCCAGCTCTAAATATACCACTCTACATCTGGGCTGGACTAAAATCTTTATTAGAGTCAAATCCACCGCATTGCTAATGAGCTTTGTGACTCAAAATCTGAATTTGCACCAGGCCAAGATGAGGCCAAATAATGCATTATTTTGGCGGAGTTCTTTGAATCATGCTTTGCTCTTTAGGAGTGGTTAGTCACACTCAGCAAGCATCCAGCCTGCTGATTACAGGGTCACTGTTGTGCAAACACCCAGGACTTGCATCTATGAGGGATTGGTTATTCTAATGTCTAGACAACAGCCACAGAACAGAGATGGAAATGAGGCCAGTTACAAATAAATGCAGCTTGGTTCTTTGCATAGACCGATGGAGAGTAGGCCATTGATGAAGAGAGCTGAGCCTCAGTAAGCCTCAAGAGGGAGGAAATTGGATTAGCCAGCAGATGGTGATGATTCAAGCACTTTAATAACAATACAAGCCTGTGAGATACTGGTGTTTCTTACACAAACTGATTGAGAATCACTTATCTGAAATGAAGCAGACACTAGCTATGGGGACAGGTATTGAAGGCTTCCCACAGCCCCTACTTATGATTAGATATGAAACTGTTCTGTGAGAAAGTGCAATGGTGGTTCTTTAAACTAATGATTTGGGGTAGGCTGGAGAGATGGATGGCTCAGTGGTCAACAGCTCATATTGCTCTTGCAAAAGACCTGAGTTTGGATCCCAGCACCTACATCATGTGGTTCACAAATACCTGTAACTCCAGCTTCAGGGGATCTGATTCTCTCTTCTGGCACACACACACACACACACACACACACACACACACACACACACACACCCTAATCAAAAATAAAATCTTAAAAACCTACTGATTTAGGAAAGATCTACAAGAGTTGTGATCAACTGTAGTCTCTGGTCACTTGAAGGTAAAATGACTAGTGTATATGTTCAAATCCCAGCCCTACCACTTTCCAGCTTATGGTTTTGGTCAAATTCATTAGTATCTTGAATGTTCAGGCTCTTGGCTAAGTAAGGATGATGGCAGCATCAATCTAAGAGGCTGCTGGAAAGACTACGGGAGAAAAGACTGCAAAGTGCTCAGTGTAATGCTGGTCACAAGAAGTTCACAGCCAATAGCAGGCACTGTAACAGTCATTCCCTGGTAGCTATGGGGACACTCGCTCCAGGTCCCTGCAAAGACACCAAAATTTGGGCCAATGAGATGACTCAGTGGGTAAAGGCTTTGCTGCTGGGCCTGATGACCTGAGTTTGATCCCTGGTGGAGGGAGAGAACCGAATTCTGCAAGTTATCTGTTCTACATACATAAGTTGTGGCATGTACACTCCCCCCCCAATAAATGCTACAATTTGGGGGGGTCTTTTTT